GCTGTGTCTCTTGAGAATAATCAACGCTATCAGCGAGCAGTGAAAGTTCTTTTACATATATGCCCTTAGTTGCACGATAAAACCACTGAAATCGATGATGGCAATTTGATAAGTCATCCAAAAATTTCACCTCGTATTAAGCTTGTTAGCCTTATGCATCATCCCTCTTCCGCTATTGATACAGTTTGTAAATTGGTTGCCTGCAAGTTTAATTGAGAAACTTTTCAGTCATCATCCTTATCATCAAAGTCCGCCGAAAGCAATCCTGGTAAAATGGTTGTTGAATTAAGAGGGAAATGTTTCAATGCAACAATAACCGTTCAAAAGCACATGCAACATTGTCCATGGTGTCACGAACCAACAACACCAACAACTACTACTACAAAAACGGTACATTGCGTTTTTCAAGCTTTCTTCATTTTTGCTGCAGAACATCTTCCAATCTTAAAAATTTCGCCAGCCTTGCGACTGATTTGGATATTTTGTTCAATATTTTGAAATTACGTCCATTCAAAGCGTGCAACTATGAAACCGAACAGCAGACAAGTAACGATCGCTTGTAATTGCTTTGCAAAGGATTCAACTCCATTGAATTCTTATAAGTTTTGTTTGAAATAAATTTTCTGGATGAGGATTTTGAAATTGTCGAAGTTGAATGTCCGTATTTAAGTCATCAACCCTGGTGAGGCAAAAGGTACGACAGCAGACTACTACAGCATCTCCAGTGGAAGGGTTTGTGCTCGACGAACGTTTCGAATTGATTTGTGTTTCGGTACTGGCCACTGTTTGTGTGCTTAGCGCGGCCGCATTCACATGTCTTTTGATCGCCTATCTGAGGCTACGATCCAATATGCTATCGAGGGCGAACGAGAAGACATATCTGGCGAATTTGATGAAAGTGGATTCGCCTTTTGCACGAACATCACTTCAAACTGAGTGAGTTTTATGGTAATATGGCAATTTCTAGGATGAATTGAGACTGCTACAAATGTTTTTCATCCAAAATTGAGATATTCTTAACGATATGTTGCAGTTGAACACCTGCTTCATTACGCACCTGTTTTAAACATGATCAAAATAGCGATTTTTATGGCTTCGCGATTAGCTTTATCCATTTTGTGTGAATCAAGAGTAACATTTGGTAGCCGAGGGACAGTCTGGAGAAGCCAACAAAGGAGATGAATTATATTCACTTGCCACTAGGGATTACCAGATATCAATTTCGCAGGGTTTAAATGAAAACTGCATCAATTTTGGGAGTAATTAATTTTGTTTAGAGAGAGAGAAACATCGAAACTGATCCAAAAAAGTTTCAGTGTTCCATGGGAACAACGAAAAAAATTTGTGCATTGGTTGAGTAGCAGTAGCAATGAAACTGTCTCAACAAGAGCTGCTTCATCGAATGAAACGTCTCCGAAAGAGTCGAAGTCGTCTATTGATGATCAATCTACTCCTCATAAAGCAGCACCGAAACCCGCAAGCAATTCATCGTATTGTGTATAAACAAATCAACAAATAGAGTCAAGATGCTCAGTCGGAATCTAGCCTTTTCCACAACTGTGATGTGTACAAATTTGTGTTTTATTAATTTATTCTGATTACGATCCAGCAATTTTTGATTGAAATACCATCTTCACTGCATTGCGTTTATGGCAATTCTCATCTTGTGAAGTAAAGTCGTTGAGGTTTTTTTGAACGGTAATAAAAATTGTTTGAGGCAGCAGTAAATACGTGGTTGTGTTTACGAGCATCAAACAAATACAGATGAATTTTCCAAAAATAACGTATTCCTGCACCGACACACTCATAAATCTCTTCGAAAAACTCAATTATTACTTGAAAAATCATTCTAAAACACACGGAAGAATCAATCAAAATTTGTGCTTTTCTCATCGTAACAACTTTTTGTTATGAATTAATGTGTGTAATTATGTTTAATTATGATTGTTGGTTAATATTATTGCTGTTTATTGGTGATTTTGGACGTGTAACCTAACTGCTATGACAAAAAAAGCTGAGTGCTTTTTGTAAAAATTTATTTCCTTGCTTGATCATGTTTTGCGATTGAATTATTTTTGTGCTGTTCAGATGTTTTTATGACAGAATTGAAATTTACGATGAACATTAAAGGATGTCGATTACGAAAGTTGTTCTCATTTGCTGAATTGTTTGCAATCACTCATACAAATGACAAGAAGAACTGGAAACCACCAAACTGAAAAAGTGGAACTCATAACCGGTGGTGGCTTTTGTAAATATGATCAAATCAAATGTTCAGATCAAATCATTTGTGAGTTTTGAATATTTCGATTCGATTTGAAGGGATAATGATTCGCGATTCAATCAGTATGATTTGAACACTATTGGAATCATTCATTGAAGCAGTACATCGAAATTACTGGCAGCAATTTTTGTTTTTGAAAGGGTAACGCTGAAAACTTGCCTCCAAAAGTCCCCTGCCGTGATGAATTTTTTTCAGTTATCCTTTCGTTGTTTTTGCTTCGAATGCTTTTTTTCCGCTCAGACATCCACCTAATTTATGTGGCAATTGATTAGTTGTCACATGGAACCGACTGAAAATGGTCAATAATGAAAAGAAATAAAAGGCAAACGGTTCAATGAATGGTGTCGTTGGTATGATTATCTTCACGAAGACTGCAATCAATTCAGATTCGAAAAAGTTAATGGGAACTGCAAATCGTTCCACTGATTGTGAGATTAGTGAGGACGCGAGAAGTCACACGCCGGAAGATTTGTTAACTGCGTTTGGTTGTCTTCAGGAATTTTGTTTAGCACCAGAAATTCATTGAAGATATGATAAATAAGTTTTCATGCCTATTCAAGAGGTATCATATTATCCATTTAATTATGAGATGAGTAGTGCATCAATGAAATTTTGGTCAAT